TTTTTTTTTTTTTTTTTTTTTTTTTTTTTTTTTTTTCCCCCGTTTTGCTAGTATTAGAACGAACTGGGATTCTTTGCAAGGCTTTGCTTTTGTTGTGGAAGTAAATGAGGTGATTGAAATCTGTCTGCACAGTCACGCTTACCTGCCACATTAGAGGTTGCAATGGGATTTGTTCCATTTAAGTAAATTTCACTTTGTTTTATTTGTAAAAGATGTAGTCAAGACCTCATTCTCATCAGCCATTTTATTTTCTCTGTGCTATTGCTACCTAACAGGCTTACTGATGCAGTATTGATTTCTAAGAAAAGCCTAATTATTTTTAAATAGTATATCACCATCAATATGTCACTGTGACATATTATAGGACAGGGATCCAAATCTTTGTTTCCCTCTCCACAGAAAAGTATAAATGAAGTAAAGATTTTGTAGCCTGATGTCATGTACATGTGCACTGGATATATTATGCATACCATTACAGCTTGCATTCAGTGCATATCAGACACTCCCTTTGGGCTCAGCTCTGCACTTCAGCTTCAAGAACAAAAAATCCCATTGGTTTTGATCTGTGCGTGAAAAACCAAACCGTTTCATAGCTGTTCAGATATGCCACCAGTAGTGAAACTGAGTAAGCGAAACTGCTAAGGCATCTTCGAACTAGTTTTGCAGCATAAAGGGATCCCTGTTGACATTTAGTGTCTTCTCATTCTTACGGTTTTCTTTTTTCTTACAGGCGAGCAAGTGAAAAAGTAGTAGTGCAGATTAAACAACTTTGTCAGCCGTCTTTGCAGTATATTGCAAAAGCCTGTATGCACCAAAAAAAAAATAAAAATCACAGGTTATTCAGAAACACAACCCACTAATTAGAGCTATTCCTTTTGGTAGAAATTGCATTGTTAACATATATTGGAGTAGTGGCTGCTCAAGTGGTGTGAAATTATGTCACTTGGGAAGTATTATGGGAAGAGATTATTTTTTTTTTTTAATTCTCTAGTGTACAACCAGAAGTGTCCACAACACTAAGGATTAGTTCACCTATGTCCCCAGCTACTTTTCGTTGTACTGACTGCTTCACTCATATCAGGGAATAATGTTCTTGCTCGAAAGACAAAATATCTGTTGATTTGGGAAGAACAGTTTTGAGTCCTTTGTTCATAAAGTTTATAGACCGATGTGGCAATAGATTGTAAAAAATGATAATGCCAGTATCAGCTTGTCCATGTGACTTTAAAGATCTCTGAATTCTGAGTTGATCACAGAATAACTTCGACATATCATCAGGTGGCATCTCAAAACTTAAGCAACTTCCTTCTTCCTTGAAATTTGCTTCAAAGTAACCTTGCCATTACTAAGGAAATGTTCTTGAATAATTTAGGAAAAAAAAAAGTATCAACAAATTATAACTGAGCACTATTTTACTGAAGAGCTGGATGCACAAAACCTGACAAGCCCATACAAAGTAGTGTGAAAGAGCAGTGGTAACTGCCAGAATAGTTGCTTTAGGTAATGGCAGTAATTGGGCTGATCTTCCCAGAAACCTACCCTGAAATAGAACTTTTAATTCTTACCATGCACTTTTAGGTCTAGGGGTTCCTTATTTTCTGTATGGGAGAAAGAAAAGGAAAAGGTTGCGTAACGTGTACAACAGTGCCTTGAATCTAACTCATGATGCCAGTAGTCTGTTTCCCGCTTTGGGAAAATAGTTTTTTGCTACTGGAAAATGATATCATTTTTGTATTTCAAGTGTCAGAAACATGTACTGCAGTGCTAATGACTCAGCATGTTCTTCTTAAGCCAAAATGGAGAAGGGATGGGAAACTGGAATAGGATGTTTACAGCGTTGGATTTTCTGTAGTGGAATTGGTATTAATCTGGCTCTTTTTTTAAGACATGCAGATTTACTGTAACGTAACTTGAACGTGTGTTCTATATCTTGAAATTAATCATATTTGAGGAGAAGCAAGATTTCTGCTATCCTGTCTATGAACAGTTCAGCTTATTTGCTTATGTATAAAAAACAGACAAAGAAGTAACCATGTAAATTCTTCCCACGGACAACTTGATATACTTACCGATCCATTCCAAAACACAGAGGGCAGAGAATTGAGGTCTCAGAGCAACTATATATCTGGCAATGTCTAACTTCCAGTACTTGATTTTGCAGTTTAAATAACTTCAGTACCTTAATGAAATATTTAATATACTTTTATATCCTCTCATTTCTCAGAAGCATGATGAGGTTTTATAATAAAGTCATGGTCCTCTTGTAGCTTAGATGGTGAATTTAGAAAATGGAGATTTTGTTTCAAGTTACCAGCAGTGATGCCTTTTGATCTTGACCAGTCAAGGGTGGAGTATTGTCAGAATTGCCGAGATTACTTCAGTCAGCTTCAGCTGGAGGAGTGGTAACTGCTGATTTTGTTCCTTCAATAAAGTACATATAAGAAAAGACTGCAGAATAAGCGATTCGTTTTCTCCATATGAATAGGAAATTACAGTTAACACACCATGTAAGTCTGAAGTATTTCAGTGATTTGTGAGAAGAAAATACTGAGAAATCTGTGAAAGCAGGTGAGAAGCTACAGTAAGGCAAATAAAGTCTTTAGAGATTTCATGCAATTAATAGAAAAAAAAATGACATTCAAGAGCCCTAGGTTGTAACATTTTCTCTCTTGGGCATTTCTGTTGGGCCATTGGTTTGGAAGAAGTCATACAAGCTGTTAAGATTAAGTCTATGAATGAACAATTCTAAGAAAGAAACCTTACTGGTTTTGTTAGATCATTGTGTTTGTCTTATAATAGTAGAAAGTATTCTCCTGTAACTAAAATTTAAGGAGACTAATCTGGGAGAGAAATTGTCTGCATTTGAGACTGTGCAGCGTCTTGATGTAAGATAAAGCTGGGAAGAACATTTTGTAGAAACTGAGAACAAATTTCCCAGCGATGTGAAACAGATGCAGTGTCATTGAAGTCTGTATAACTACCCGTATTTGCAGTAGGTGTGAATTTAGTCTTGTGTCTTTGAATAGTTTTGCTATAGTCTAAACAATTTAATTGTATAGAGGCACCAGAATCAAAAACATTGCCTTTTTCTAATGCTTTCAATTTTCCCGTAGCCCGAAGAGCTCTTATTTTTTTATAGTGCAATGTAGTATATGTAACATGCATTAGCATGTCTGCGGTAACATCACTGAAGAATGCAGAGAAATGTGAGTTTCATTGTGTAGACTATAATTATCTTTCATTATGATTGAACTAAGTACCTATTGAATCTATATCTGTTACTGTCAGGCTGTATTAAACTAGCTAGGGCAAAGTGCTGGATCATGTAGTTCATGCTGAAGAGCAGCATAATGGCTGCTTCAGTAGATAAAAATGAGCTTGACTAGGCAAAAAGGCTATGGTGCATATTCTTATTTCCACCAAAGAACACAATGCTGCATTGCAGCAGTAATTCGGTCTGTGCAATGAGTACTGTAACACAGTGTAACTCTTATTGAAATAATTATCTGTACACAGATTCCCCCAGCGATAGCCATTCTTCACAATCCGTACTCTCATGAAACCTGGTTTGCTCCTGCAGTCTTCCTCTTTCTCACTCAGATATGATGGTCAGTAGCTATGCTCCCCTTCCTGTCTGCACCAGTGGCCTGATTCTTTTTTTGCAGACTCACAGCAGTCCTTTGCTCCTAAACCTTTGGTTTTCTTTTTACTGTATTGGTTGTTCCCATCATGCTTTCTTCTGCACAGCTCGTAGACTCACACTTGAGATGCATTTTACAGGTTTCCTTCAAGGTACAAAAGCTCCTTTTCCTCAGTTTTGCATATAATTCTCATCCAGTGATTTCATACAGACTGAAACCTTTGGCATGAATATCAGTCAAGAATTTTTAGGAACATCTGCCATGGTGAGAATCCTGACTTTTGGTTTTGTGTCCTCTGCTGAATCATACTAGTTTCATCACTGGAGTCAAGGTGGAGATTGTGTGAATAGGAGCACAAGACATAAGCTTGTGGGACTGGACTGGTACACTGTGCTATCAAAATCTGTCTTCAAAGCAGGGATTATAGTAATGTGAATTGGCTGCAGCCTTATATTACATTTTTCTACCCCCACAACAGTGTGCTGGTATGTTAACTGCTTCATCAGAGAAGAAAGCAGAGTTCTGAAGAACAGAATGTTAATCTTTTTCTCTCTTGGCAAACATTGAACTTAAAAAGGTATCCGTTCTTTTTTTTTCTATTTTTTGTGATGTTACAGTAGCCTTCTACAAAATTATTTTCTGTCTGGACTTTCTTGATAGTCTTTTATGAAGTAGGAACCCACTATTTTAATTTTTTCCCCTTCTTTCCTTCCAACTCACATTGAAGATTGAAGCTATTTTTGCTCAAAGGAGCTTTGAGGATTTTTTTGTAATGCATTAAAATTTGAATGCAGATAATTTTGCCAAATTGCTGTGTTTTTATCAGATATAAAAGCAAGATAATAGAAATAAATTACACTGTGTTAGAAAAGAATGAAGGGTTTATTTGGCTTTCCTTTTCAAAGAGGAATGCTGGTTTTAAAAAGAAACACAATGGAAAAATAATCATGTTTCCATTTATGTCAGAAAAGCATTGCTAAAAGTTCTTTAATATTTAGTTATATCAGTTTTTGCAACTGTATTGTGGGATGTTTTAAATGTGAAATTGCTTTACAGATGATTTTTTGTAGACACTTGTGTGTAACTGCAAGAACATGGGGCAGTTGTACTCATTATACTTTCAAATTTGTAAGCAAGTGGGATTTTTTGTGTGCCTGTTTTTCAGTACAGATTGTGAAGATCTCCAGCCTCATAACTTTGCTGGTATTACACAGTTGAGAGAACTAGAAGGATGATGTTCATCTAGTTAAGTGTGTATATATTGGGATGCAGATCTGTTGAATAGAGATGCGTCAAAAAGGAGCCCGACGCAAGATTCATTACCAGCGTAACAGTGAAGAGGAGCAAGCAGTGTTGGACAGAACTAGTACAACTGACTAGTCATTACATGTAAGAAAGATCTAAAGAAAAGGGCAGCAGAATTTTTCAATGTGTCTCTTGGTGCTTTGACTAATGAAGTTCCTTTGAGTCTTACTGCAAATACTTGTAGTTTGATCAGCAAAGGCTTTACAGGTTTTATCTCCCTGTGCCAGCATTTCTGAATGCAGGCCTGAAGCTGAAGTAGAAGTTCTATAGCAAGCCCAGATCTCCCAGGGAGCTAATTTGGGTCTGAATTCCCTGTTGCAAGGGATTATTATTGCTTAATCTGCTAATAATGTGGCAGTTGAGTCAGGTTACTTTTCCTCTGCATGCTGATGCATTAAAGCTTGATTCTTCATCCGCAGAAGAAAATAACAAAATTCCTAGTGTGTTCTGAGAAAGAAAGTTTTGGTCTGCAGTTTGCTTGTATGTCAAAAAAGACTTATTGTTTTATCTTTCAGTATGAGAAAGAGACATTTTAACATATCAAGGACAGTGCTAGTAAGATATCATAAAAATCTAGCTCATCTGTTTGATTTACTAAGTTCTTTCCAAGAGTTTGATTACTGTTAATTCAGTGACAGGAAAATTTTCTTAACGTTCTTCTAACTGAACCATGTACTGTTCAGCAATTCCCTCTGATACTTGTCAGGTCAGTTCAAGATTAATTTTAGATTTTTCTTTTTACAGGGGATTTTATATAAGAAAAGGGATACCTTTTTAAAACATTGTAATAATTTTACTGATAGATGGCTTGTGCTTTTTTTTGACTGAAAATACCGTTTACTTATTACAGTTAGAGAAGGTTTTCAGACCTAGAGACAAATACTGATGTAGTTTCACTTGTGCATCTGTTACATTAAATACAGAGAGAAAATGGTTTCAGTGTACTCCCTGAACTTACTACTAATTACTGGAACTGAGAAGCTGCTCTAATTTACATGAGTGGAACAAAAGGAAAAGAAAAGTTTGAAATGTGACTGAAGGTACTGGTTGAAGTACCAGATGCTGTGGCTTAGTCCCAAAGCTCCATTAGGACTGCTTAAATGCTTCAATTTAACATATTGGTGTTTGCATTCTGGTTCTACCTAGGTTTCTCAGCTACTGAGCTGTACGTGGACTAGAAGAAGGTATAGTCCTTTGAAGAGTTTACAACACAAAACACAAAACAGATAAAAAGAGGCCTGAACAAACATTTATTAGCCCAGATATACAGGATACAGTATTAGGATTTCTCTGCTGTCTTTACAACTCTCTTTCCACATTACACTGTTCTGTGTATAGCTCATACACATTTTTTTTTTTTTTTAAGAACTGATACCCTTCAAAACAAAGCCTGATACTACTTCCACCACATGTCAAAAGAAAGGTTTATATGACCCTGAACAGTTCCAGCAACAGTGGTGAGCATGAAGCAGGTCACAATCCAGTAGGCTCTACTGTGTTTAAAAAAATTTGGGCTGATTGCCAGTTGCTGAGAGGAGGTGGTAACAGGAAGGAGAAGGAAAGTGAGAAGGCAGTGATAGAAGTCTAGGGAATGAATTAAAAGAGGTTACAGTGGCATTTAGTGGGCAACTAGGGTGAAGTTCAACTTCCAAATCCTTGGAAACTATTGTAAAAAGGTTAATTGTCCTGTTGGCTGCGAGGCTGGTGGTAATACTTGTGGTGACAGGTTTTAGTTCTGTTGTGAAGTCTCATCTTGATAAGCTGTGGGCTCAGTTCCAGTGTCTTAAACATCTTTCCATCTGGTCTGTCAGTGAAGCTGTCCTGAGGTGCGTCATCTCTTGATTATTGTGCTAACAGTCCAGTAATAGTTGGCTACAGGCAAGTTCATCAGAACATTATACAGCCTTCATTTTACAGACCAGATGTTGCAGCAAGTCCATAAGCAAAAGCTGAGAGGTCTCATGTATCCCGGATTAATTTCTGATTCTCATCAGTTAGCAGTTCTTGATTAGACTCCTTGTGTATTCCCTTTTTCGGGTTTTCATGAAGTTTAACACATAATCTAAATCCCTTTTAAGACTCTTAATTGTGCAGATGACTTTGCACATACTAGTTTTATCCCATGTGATTAGTGAAGAATTTATTGAAAAACATTCCTCCCCAAAAATCTTATGGTTACCTTCAGTATGGCAACTGCAAGCAAGTCTGTGTCTTTTTAAATGACTCATTATGTTAAAGAAAAATACGTATTCAAATACAGACATTTTTGTGTCTGTACATAAATGTCTGAAACAGCAGGCTTTTAAAATTGATTTGGTTATGGCTTTTCAGATGTTTCAGATATGTTTAATTATTTGATATTTCTAAGAAACTAAAGCATCAAAGCTCATAAGAGATGAGCATCTCTTCTTTGAAAATATGATTGTGGTTATATATTCCTAGATGAAGAATGCACAAAAATAAGTCACCCTTGCTTTTGAAGCACTAGGTGCATTCTATATATTAAAATTTTAATATCTGCATGACTTTCTGAAATGGTCTGAAAAACTTAATCAACTTTGTTTAAAATAGATTTTTAATAAATTCAAGTCCAGCTGTTAAGTCAGGAAGTAAAGAAATTTGGCTCCTAAATGTTAATGTAAAGTGCATACCCCATTATGCCTGATAAGAAGCAGCTTGTTATGCTGTCAAAATACAAGCAATTAGCTATCAGTCATTGGGAAATAAGAAAACAAAACCAAAAAAACCCCTCAGCCAGTGAATGGAGTGTATTCTACATAAACATTTAAGACCAAACAGTGGACTTAATTCCTGCAATTTGGAAGTGGTTTAACATCCTTTTCTTACCTTTTTCTCCTGTCGTCAAATCATTGAGATAAACAGAAATGGGTAAACCAAAGCATATGATTTCAAATTAAGTTTCTTCTGCCTAATAGTATAATATCTTTTTTTTTTCTACATAATAGTATAATATCTTTTTTTTTTTTTTTCCCCCACAGATCTTTTCAGTACAACTAACGTTCAGAAGCAGAAATCCTTACTCTTAATTCTCATCAGGCACCATCTTCAGTCTATTTCTTCAATATTTTTAGCCAAGCAGAGGAGAGCTTTCTTCAGTGCTTGTCCATCTGTCTCAACTGAACTTGACTTCCTTACTGTTTTTCTCACATTACAAATGCCTAAGAACAGCAAGGTAGTGAAAAGAGAACTAGATGATGAGGTCATTGAGTCTGTTAAGGACCTTCTTTCTAATGAAGACTCTTCAGATGATGCCTTTAAGAAGAGTGAACTTATGGTTGATGATCAGGAAGAAAAAGATGTAGATGTTGAAGAAGGCTCAGATGTAGAAGATGAAAGACCTGCTTGGAACAGCAAACTCCAGTATATTCTGGCACAAGTTGGATTTTCCGTGGGATTGGGGAATGTGTGGCGATTCCCATATCTATGTCAGAAAAATGGTGGAGGTAAGTCTTGTGATAGCTAGTCATAGCTAAATGCTGAAGCTAAGCTTTCAGATTTCAAGGTTAACAAAGATATTCATGGTAAAACCTACTACAGCATGTCAGGTTTTTCTTTTAATTTCTGCTAGAGCCTAGGAAGAAAACCACGTATTCTCTTTATCTAGAGACACACATCTGTTAAAGTAAGTATCAGATTCTTCTAAGATTCCATTTCCCCATTTTAGGGGACAAAGTTCTTGATGTGACCTTAAGTAGTGATCAAACTAGTGGCTAAGCAAAACATATTTATGGAGGGGTTGCATTATTTAGAACCAGGCTATTGATATGCCGAAGTGTTCTTCATAGTACTTGGGCAATACGTCACGACATTAAATCTGCATCTACTTTAAAGACCAAAGCAGTATTTGGTTTTTAGTATTTAGTGGTACTAAGCTTCACACCCTAACTATTTAATTGCTTTTAGCTTCTAGTCCATTTGATGATGATGCAAGAGCAACAAAAAACTACAGGAGTGAAAAGGATTTTTTTAACTGATAATAATTTAAATCATTATGTTAAGGGAATGCATTTGCTTTCTGCAGTTATAGTTAACTGATTTCCTAAATAGCAAGTTACCTTTGAACAATAGCATTTCTTTGAAAAATAACTGTTTATTTGTTAACTGTCCATCTGTGGTCTTGAATGTAGTATGAAGTGTGAGGCTGGAGATCTTCCTTCCTCTATGAATGCAGGATTAGTGTTTTACCCTATGCTATACTGTACCCTACTATACTATATTAATGCACAACCTGTTGTAGCTGATTGCTTAGCTGAATTAAAAATAAACCTGCCACTTTTTGTGATACAAAAAGTTAATCTGTACTACAGAATAGAAAATAAAGAACAACATTTTATTCATGCTGGATTTTAAAAGTTTAGTGACAAAACTGATGTAATTAATGAGTATAGAAGTGAGCCTGGAATATAAACAGATAATAATTCTGTACTTTATTTGGTTTTTCTTAGTTCAAGCAGTAAAAAATGAGTTTACCCTTTCAAATGTTCCATCTCCAGGATAAAGTCTAAATTCTTTTATATCTAGTTACTGAAGATTTTTTTCACTCTTTTAACTTCCTTTTTTGCTTCTTTATTCTGGAGAGAAATTAATTAAATGGTTGTTTTAATGATTTGTATGGAATGTAAAATTTTCTTCATCTGTAACTAGTATTAACTGAGAAAACATGAATGTAGTTTCTAAAAATACATAGCTTTTCAGTGGATGACAAAGTCATCTAGTCTACTAGACACAGTATAGATCTGATCATGTGCCAGTACTAGTTGAAAAAATAATTATATTTGTTAATATTTTTTAAAACAAACTGATTAGTAGTTAAAGGTGTAGCTGGTAAATGTTATATTCTCTATTGTTTCATCCTAAGTATGTTGTCAAGATGTAGTCTCAAGGATAAGGCATTACAGCAGTTTGTTTTGTGTAGCTGTGTCCCTTTTGAAAGTCTGTGCTTAATGTAGATAGTTACTGATTTTGCAAGCCCATTGGATTCTCCTTTGGACCAGCAGAAAAAAACTGTTGGTATACTCCTGAGGAAGTTGGTTTCATACTGTCAGATGCTTTTAAAGTTACTCTGCCAGTGAGTATACATTTAATTCGCATCAAATATAAATGGATTAAATTAATTAATAATTTCACATTTTAGAAAGAAATCCAACCTTCAGGGATTATGGCACTTCATTAATCAAACTTGGAAAAATAAATATGGAGTAATTTCAGGTTGAAAGTTAATATTTTTCCCCTGTGCTGTAACTGCAGGAACTTGGATATATAACATAGTCTGTGGAGACAATGTTTTCTGCACATGGCTGAGACAAGGATGTATTTGGCTTTTAACAATAATTTTGCACCATTTTAGCAAATGGCAACCTTCAGAACAACAGAGAAAAGCAAGTGATCATTAGAGCTGAAGCTTTCTTGGTTTTCAAGTTAACCATAATGCAAGATGGAGAAGGCAACACAGAACACTGATATGTGTAAAGTACATTGATGCCTGTATATGTGTGTGCACATGGACAGGTAATTCTCACTCGTGCATAAAAGAATAGGGAGAGGGAAGCAAAAGTTCAAATACACGGTAAAGAAACCTACACACATTTTGTATGAGGTTCTTGTTTGCTGCTACACTTATTTCATATATGTTTCATTCTAGTTAAAATTAGAGTGGTTTTATGTAACCCATTCAAAATAACAGTGTCAGAATTGTTCTGTAGTCTTTCTGAGAAAGCTTTACTATAAATACCTGTTGAATCTCTGAGTATAAGGTAAACAGCCTTTATGTGGGTTTTCGTTAGGAATGTTTCCTTGAAGCCTATGTCTAGGTCTTCACTTTCAGTTTTGTCCTAACATTTTTAATTTTCTTCCTTGTGTTTAAGGAACTTGTGTCTGGCAGATATCATCAGGTGAGAGGAGTATATTAAAAAGTGGTAAACCAATAAATACACTTCAAATTTAAACCAAAAGGAAGTAAAAAACAGTTACTCATTGGCTTCCTTTACAGGTTTCTTCAACATTAAGTGTTTCAAAGCCACCAGTGAAAGAGAAGGCAAATCCTAACCATGTAGAAATTTTCCAATTTTGTCTTTGCTTTTAAAGTTCTGTGACAAGAACAACAAAATCAACAAAATCAGCATAGGAAAGACACAGGCAAGTTAGCCCTAATTGATATGTATTATTAGAGGATTTTGTGGAGAAAAAAATAGGGTGGTTACTACGCTTTTTCCTAGGGAGATTGGGTTTGTTTATGGCTATGGCCTGTAGTACACCAACACTCCTGACTTCAGAGCTCTGTACTTGCTTCAGTGAAGTATCTGTGATACCATCTTTAAAGGCAGTTTGTGTATTGCTGTACTGCACTGATGCTTGGATGGCCATAGGTATCTCCAGTCTCTATTTCTGGCTCTGGTCTGTACCACCAAAACAACTTCCTTCACTGTGTTTCTTGTGATCCTTCAACAGTTTTTCCTGTTGCTTTAACTCATATAAACTCAAAAATATTTAGAGTAATATCTAGTAACTTTATGCTCAATTAAGTTACAGCTAGACTGGGTAGCTCGTCGCTGGCTTTCACACTTGGCATTTTCCTAGAAAAAGTTTGTTGTGAGATGTGACAAGGAGGCTAGTATGCATCTTGGACAAACTTTGATCCATACTGGGAATGTAGCTGTAATGCAGGAAGTAATCAAGAGAAAAAAAGAGGCTGGGAGGAGACTGAGAGCACTCCAGGGTGCTCATTTTCTTGGTTGGGGATGAGAGGGAGGGCCCAGAGGAGTTTTAGGCTCTGTGAATGAGGGGCTGAAGGTGTTCAGTAAAGTTTTGAGGAACTGACTAGATCTCTCTGCCTCCTTCACTTCTGTCCTCACCACAGATCCTCCTTAATGCTTGTAGGCAATGCCCAGTCCCCATCTGTCACTTAAGGCATCTCTTCCACTCTGTGAAGCCTAACAGATAAAAAGCTGTTTCTTGATGCCTCACAAAGGTGATTTGCATTGTCGCTGGGTATGCTCTAACTTAGCTTTAAAGGTTTTTTATATATTTATCATTCTTACACTGTACAGTTTATTTATTACTTCATTACTACAAGAAGACTAATACGTGTGTTTGTTCAGATAGGCACAGTTCATATAAAACAATTTCATAACCTGTGTTAGCATGCAGTAGGTTCAGAGCTGCCTCAGCTTTCTATGACTGATACTGAGCCTTAAAAATAAACTGCTTATGTCTACCCAGTCTTGCCATGAGGCTGATAAAATAGTGGCAAACTACACAGTATTTTCCTGCTGCTCATTGCTATTTGGTGAATAGCTTGCATGCCTTTCACTTTTTTTCAAACAAAGGAAGTATTTATTGTATAGTTGTTGTTTTCCTTTAGGATTAGCAGAAGTAAAATGGTACTTTCACATATTAGAAAAAACAAAAGCAAACTAAATTAGCTGTTCTGCTAGAATAGGTGATATTTGAGTGAGTGTTACTATGAAGACAAGTGAACATGGTTATCTAAGAAGTGCTTCTAGTATTGCAGGTATTATTTGGAGTCTGCAAAGTACTGCACACTCAAAGATTTTGTGTTTCAGTTTCATAAGTATTAACTTAATTTTCCTGATTTTAAGGTCAGTCTTAAAAATCTAAATGTTTAAAAAGGCATAAAAATTAAAAGAACTAGTAAACAATGATAAACATATAAAAGCTCCGAGCAGCATAGGGAAATCAGCAGCAGATTATCTTGCCATTGTGTTTTGATAAGATTGACATGGGTAGAGTCACATCATGAGTTTTTACAGTTAAGTATGGATTTATACTGAAGTACTAGCAGATTGAACAGTTATGTGGTCTTATAAAAAGCACAACAGATATTGCTGAGGAAATAATATGTAAACGGTTAAAGACTGAGTAATCACAGAATCACCTAGGTTGGAAAAGACCTGAAGATCATCCAGTCCAACCGTTAACCTAACACTGACAGTTCCCAACTACACCAGATCCCTCAGCGCTATGTCAGCCCAACTCTTAAACACCTCCAGGGATGGGGACTCCACCACCTCCCTGGGCAGCCCATTCCAACACCTAACAACCCCTTCTGGAAAGAAATGCTTCCTAATATCCAGTCTAAACCTTCCCTGGAGCAACTTGAGGCCATTACATCTTGTCTTATTGCTTACTACTTGGTTAAAGAGACTCATCCCCAGCTCTCTGCAACCTCCTTTCAGGGAGCTGTAGAGGGCGATGAGGTCTCCCCTCAGCCTCCTCTTCTCCAGACTAAACACCCCCAGTTCCCTCAGCCGCTACTCGTGACGTGCTCCAGAGCCCTCATCAGCTTCGTTGCCCTTCTAGTCATTAGAAGCTACAGTCTGACTGTGTAATACAAGTGAAATGGGAGGAAAGCAAGTATTCCAACACTGAGTACTGATTCAGGGGCTTCATTATTTAGTTTTTGATCTATAATTTATAATCAGTGCCTTGACTTCATGATGACTTCAATATTATTTTGCATGTCTTGATTTAAACTGCATGATCAGACTTGAAATTTAGTACTTCAGTGTGCTGAAAATGTCATATTTTGCAAGTTTAATTCTTAGAGCTTATTGGCTTATTACTATGGGGATTTTCATCCTTTTAAATTGTGAAAGACTAGTGACAGGAAGACTATTCTATCAGTAGGGTAGACTACAAACCTGCAAATGAAACATAAAACCTTTTGTCAAATTTTTCCTGATAAAAAGCAGCTTGTATTTTGTAATGGTAAATAATTTCACTTACGGTAGTTTAGTAGACTGTAAACCTATAGTGTTTTGTTGCCCACTTGTCATAACTTTGAAAATTTTAACATTCGACGTTGAAAAAGTTAATCTTCTGAATATCAGCTTCTTGCTTGTTTTCTATTACTAAGTGTCCAGTAAGTTATAAGAACTGGGATATCTCTTCAAGATGGTGGTAAAGCTCAGCTTCACGGAACAAGAATTAAATCACACTAGACATTTAATTAAAAACTAGCACAGCAGCAGTTGAAACAAATCTGCAAAGTTATATTTTTCAGGTTACATTAAGAATGTCTAGAAGAAAAGTTCTTCTGTAGTATCAAGATGGCAATGGTTATGTCCTCTTTCATTATTGCTTCTGGAATTTTTTTTCAACTCTTTAATCACTATGAATCATGTTATTTTACATTATTTTTTTCCCCTGAGCATTTATAAGAACTTAAAACCAATGTTAATATTTCACTTCTATCAATGATGTTGCCAAATGCAGTATATATAGTAATATCAAGAGAGACAGTTTAGTAGTTACCCCATTACAGTTCTTGGTTAAATAAAAAATTAAAGAAGTCAAAGCAGTGCTGTGCACAGTATTAACATTCACCAGTTCCTGAAATCTTTTGTATCTTTGTCATTCATTCTAGTGAAGAAGGATATTTTTTTTTCCTTATGAGGTTGAGATGAGTTTTTAAATATGAAAGCCAGTGTTTGAAGCCAAAATAAATATAAAAAAAAAAAAAAGTCACTTTACATTAGAATAATTTTGAAAATGTGGAAGGGAGACCTTGGTATCCTGAACTGCATGGGACTGAAATACTCAGAAGGCTGCTTAGCGGGTAGATGCAGCAGACAATGTAACTAATTGTAGGATGCTGTTCAAAGCCAGCATGTATTGTTCTGATTCAAGTAAAAATGGTCCTTATTCAATATTGTAACTCCAAGGACCCATGTTTTCATGTACTGGCAAATAAGAGACATGCTGAGCTGTTTCCATAGTGATTCTGTTTTATGATGAAGTGAAGATGACTTAGTTCTTTGAAGCATGTCTAGCTTCAAGGGAAGGCTGAAACAAAATAGCTGTCCAGAGATTCTCTGGTTTCATGTTGAAGCCCTTTGCAGCTGTGATACACAGTTGTATAATCTAGCTACATCCAAACTATACTGCACTGAAACTCATATGTGCATTATTTTCCATTATGTCCTTCTTTTCGGGAGAGGTACAACATCAGAGTGGAGCTCAGCGGGTTTGAATGATCAGAAGACCAGTGCTTCAGATGCTCTGCACAAGCCCTGCAGTATGGACGTGAGCTCACCTGGCTGTCCACGCTGAATTACAGTGTTGTGTTGTTTATAATGTAATGTGGATTTAAGACCACATTTATTTAGTGCGTTTAGTTGAATCTAACTACATCTTACATTAATACTGCACCATCAAACACACCACATCAGCTCAAGTCTTTAAACATGTACTTAACTTAGCAGCCTTGTGATTAAGGTTGTAGACTGGGACACTGAAGAGCTGGTTTCAGTTCTGGCTCTAGTACAGTCATCCAGTGGGATACAGGGTAATTTACTTAGGCCCCAATTTTTTTGAGCTGTAGGCTTGTCTCTGCTCAGCTGTGCAACACCTGTCTAGTTAAGACCTCAGGTATCATTTACGGTAGTGTTGTATGATTTAAAAAGCTATGTACTGTTGGCGCTAAATTAATTGTATGACCAAATTTTTAAAGATAGTGATGCCAAAGCTTTTCATTTACAGTGTGAATTAACAGTTAACTTATGTCTCATGGAAATCTTGAGAGAATATATTATTTGTGTTACATACTCTTAAGACAGATCGTCCCCCTCATTTCAGAATGTGTTTGTTACTGTATTCCTCAGTTTCCTCACATTTATTTCCTTCTGTCTCAGTTGTCTCTCTTTTCATAGTAGAAAGTAAGTCCTTTGTGTTCTTTCCGTTATGTACATGTGCAAGATGAACCACAAGAGACACCAAAGTACTGAACGGGAATGTAGCTGCTACCTAAGTAGACACTTCATAGTGTGCTGAAATGGGTAGATAGACCATAATGTTTGGCTTTTGAAGGGAGTATTGTAACCTTAAAACCAGTATATTGTTCAGAGCCTGGCACAGGTTTTGACCTAATACTGCTCAAACAATATCATTGCACATCACGTTGCCATGTCATGAAAATAAAATACAAGTAGCTCTTTAATTGCTAAAAATAGCCTATAGACAGTGAGGTAAATACGATCAATATTCTTCATCTGGTCCACCAGTAGATTTTTTCAGATCTTCTCTCCGCTGTCTTTTTTCCTATTATTTGTAGATTCAAGACTGTAGTTACTCCATGCTTAGAATCTTTGTAAGATCTTTATAATGGAAAGTGATGTCCACTTTGTGTGTATGTCAAGAAGAGCAAAATAGCAAGTGGACCTAAATAGAAGTGGATGATACCAGAAAATATGAGACCTTCTGCACAGCTTAGGACACTTTAGCTTTTCTAGAATAAACTGTATTCCATTATATGCAAATGACAGTGTTTTGATGGACTCATAAAAAAGCCCTAGAAAGTTGATGCTGGATGAAGAAACTTAGGACTTAGCTGGAGTTGAGAATAAATCCCAAATTGGTTTCTGAACTTTGTTTAACTTCTCTCTCATCAAGGAGATGAATAGACTGATTATACAACTTAATAGCTTTGAGTCTAAGCTTCTGAGGTCTTTACATCTTTGCTTTGTAGCTTGCTCCAACATGCTGCAGTCTGCATCTTTCAGGTGCTTTTTTTTAGTCTTTCAATGGTTGCAATCAAAAGTCCTAAGCCGTTTGAGTTAGTTGGCCAGCACACTCTGTATTGCAGCATATGGGCTACGCATTTGAAAATTAGGTGCCACGTTTCTAATTGCTGATGCCTGAATGTTTTGTTAGCTCTTGTACTAAAAACTCTGCACCACCAAGGAGGGAGTTAGGCTCTGAACTTGTCAGTGCTCTTAGTGTATGGATATATTTGCTTGCAGTTAGCTTTACTGAAATAAGAAATAAGTTAGAATTTTCTATGACCACTTCCTGGGAATAACACCTTGAAAAAAGGAATTTATATATATATGTGTGTGTGTGTGTATGTGTGTATATAAAGGTGAAGTAATAGTTGCATTTTCAAATATGTCTTCAAGAGAGTCTGTGCATACTGCAAGATCTGGATCTACAGCACTTCATTTCCACCTCCTGTCTCTAGTCTCTGTCTGAAGCCTGATATAAATAGTCTGATAGTTTCTTTGCTTGGCTGGATAGAATCACTATTCTGTACATTGTGAAATCCCCATTCTGAGCATCTGAGGTGCATATGGAGAAATCAACAGATGATCTCCTAAAACTGTTTAAGATTGGATGAAATTTGTAATGTTGTATGCACAGTATTTTCTATGTTTCCTTCATAAATGCATTTTTGCTGCTCTGTTACAAGTCAAGGTGTAGAGTTTTTTAAGAAATGTTGATTCAGCTCCTGATCACCGCACGAGAACTCTAAAAAGTTTGATCAAATGCCCAAAATTTGACACAAGTGAATAACTAGTTTAGATAATAACTCACTTTCAGTAAGGTTTACCTCAAAATGTTACAGTGCTTTAGAAATTCAATGTCTCTGGGTTTTTTATGTCTTACAAGATGTCTGGCCAAGTTTCAGGTAAAATTACTTTTTTTGCATGTGACCAAAAAAGCTTTGCAGTGAATGCCACTAATCCAAACTTGAAGCTATTGGAAAGTTTCACATTCGTTTTGTCAAGTTCTGACTCTTCTTCCACTCACTCTGATTTATACTTTGTTCCTTTTGTAGGTGCCTATCTTGTGCCATACTTAATTTTGCTACTGATAATAGGGATTCCACTCTTCTTCTTGGAGCTTGCTGTGGGGCAGAGAATCCGCCGAGGGAGTATTGGTGTGTGGAATTACATCAGCCCTAAACTTGGAGGAATTGGATTTGCAAGCTGCGTAGTAAGTTCTTAACATTAATTGTGAGGTTTGCTTTCAGTTTGTATGATTTAGACTTCCTGGTTTGCTGCAGGGAAAGGCCACTGATTTGTAGCTGGGCATCAAGATCAGTTTGCAGTGTTTTGGAAGATCTTAAATTAGTACATTCAAAAATGTTCATATAGATGTGTCTGTAAAACTGGTCAGCTTGTGTTTTGTGATTCCTTCAAGACTAGGAACAAGGGAACCAGAGTAGTCTTCTGGAGAAAAAAACCCTGTAAAGTATAGGTGTTACATGATAAATAAAGTGAAAAGTGAAAATTTAGAAAATGCCATTACTTTAATGGGGCAAGCCATTCAGTTCTTATTCTGACTTATTTTACTTAAAACTAGGTTCAGTGGCTGATGTGCAGAGATAGGCAGAAGTTCAGGAAGGACTTGAAAAAAATTTGCAAATGTAGTTAATAAATGTAACTTTTTGATCTGCCTTTTTCTTTTAATAGGTATGTTTCTTTGTGGCCCTGTACTACAATGTCATTATTGGATGGAGTTTGTTTTACTTTTCCCAATCTTTTCAGCATCCATTACCGTGGGACCAGTGTCCTTTAGTTAAAAATACATCTCATACCTGTAAGTCTATATTAATGTTCTTAAAAATAATATAAGATTTGAGATTTTTGAACAAAAAGGAAAAAAAAAATTCAAAGAGATATTGGTGGGAAAAAGTGTTGTATGCAAATCTGGTTTTCCAAATATAATAAAATAATACTTGGAAAAATTACAGCAAAACCTAACCTAAGATAAATATACTGTATTTGGAAAGGAACATCCCTGGAAATGACATTTTAAAGCATAATAAAATCAGGAGAGTAATTTTTGTGGTATGTTGCAGAAAAAATTTTTTGATTACTTTTTTCTGTTGATACTGCTTTTTATGCTTATTTTGTGAAAAACAAAGGTGAAAGAAGGATATTTCTACATTTCAATTACTAGAATACTTCCTGTCAAAAAGCAAGAAGTGTGGCATTACTAACAAAGCAGAAAATGGAAAACTGTAAACATTAATGAAATGCATGTAATAAAAGCATTGTTTGCTTTGTAAGCCAGTAGAAATGAGATAGCTGGTCATTGGTTTGTTGCTGTAATGAGATGGTCTCACATGGACATATCACACAACAGCATTAAAAGTCCCTTATCCCTTGGTTTTGGTTATCTCATAATAGTTACACACTTTGCATTATCCTTGATATTGAAATATGAAATATTCCTTTTTATTTCAGATCCTGTATTTTCTTCAATTCCCTTTTGTGGTTTGGGTTTTTTTTTTTAACCCCTTTAATAAAGAACATAACCAGGGACATTTGAAAAGTTGTACTGTGTTTTTATAGTGTCTTTGCCAGAGTTGCTTGCTTCAGTTGTTTGAAATAATCAGTATTTGTGAATGTTGGCCCACAGTCAGATGGATTGTAATCCACAAGCTATTGTCCATTAATTGAGCCACAGTGGTTGTTTATGTACTCTTAACCTGCCTAAATATTAAGGTACAGCGTGTTGGCCTAACTTCAGCAGAGGTCATCTGAACTAAGCCTAAACAAAGAAGAGTACTATGTTTGATAACATTCTATATCTTAGATAGTTTATTTCAGTGGAGATCTCACACCTGTGTTAGCTTTCTTAAAATTAGTATATTTTAATTAATTAATTGACTCAGAACCTAGCTTAGAGATATAATTGATTGTCATATATAAGTAATTTATAAAGAAGGTAATTATTTTCATTGAAGAATTCTTTGTGTGCTATATGTCTAGGTAAACACAATTTCTTAGACCGGCAATGTGAATAAAGCAGAATTACAGTATAATACAAAAATCACTTCTGGACTACACATAGCAACTTTTCATTTAACAGCTGTGTAGGATCTGTTTTTTTCTTTTCTCATCACTTTGGTGCATTATGTTATTTATAATAGTAATTAAGTACCTGTTGATTTGAGTGTTATATCAAAGCAGACACCACTGAGAATTTGTTTTCCATATATTTTCAAAACTGAGTTCAATTTCATAGTATATGTCACAATATCTTATGTAGGTATTCTAATATTATGTGTGATAAATGGAATGTATGTCTTCATCTAGGTCTGCCTACTATTTAGTACTTAAGTGAAAAATAAATTCTGCCTAGGACTCACATTGACCATATACAGAGGAATACGTTATCCCAAAAGGGTGTTTTAAAAAGGTATACCCAGAAACTTTCACTGATAGTAGTTACTTTTTCTTTCAGACAGTGTCTTAAGACTTTGTGAGTTTACTTTGTCAGTAAATGGTGATAGCACAATTACAAATATTGAGAATTGGTGGAACATTCTTATGAAATGTTGGGAAAATACTTCTGTCCTGAATGCAATCTTTACTTGCTAACATCTCTTGACAGTTGTGGAGCCAGAGTGTGAAAAAAGTTCTGCAACCACTTACTACTGGTACAGAGAAGCACTGAATATTTCTAGCTCTCTGTCAGAGAGCGGGGGTTTGAATTGGAAGATGACTATCTGTTTGCTGGCTGCCTGGGTCATGGTATGCCTAGCCATGATCAAAGGCATTCAGTCTTCAGGCAAAGTGAGTATACTGTTTACTTACAGTGTTTTACCTTTTACTTTGAAACACTTCACAACGTTTTTGTTCACCACACCTTTTGTTTACTCTGTCATGAAATCTGTAGGAGCAGGTTAGAAACGTTGACTCACCCCAATATTTGTATAATCTCAAGTAGAGGAATGCTAGTAATTAAGCATTAAAATTGTAGTAATTTTAGTGGGAACTGAGATCTGAAGAAGTATTTCTGTTCTTAGCAGCATAACTGTTGCAAGTAAGTGTACCTCAGCTTTATTGTGCTGTGTAAGTCTGTGTGTTTCTGAATGTCTAAGGAATTAAGTTTCCGTATATACTCATAGTACAATTGCAGTGCTCAAAATGCCTTGCCATTTTTCTTTTTATTGCTACTGTCATTGATATCCATGCTTCTGTCATTAAAACAGGAATTCTGGATTGTTTCTTTCTACTAATGACTAACTTAGGCCTTTGCATCTGAGTATGTCACCTTGTCTTTTTTCCTTTTCATGCATCCAACTGGATTGGCTAGTGAATGATATGCTCGCTCTGTTGATCTCTGTGAGATTTTCAGATGAAAGATAATCTGTTCTAATAACAAAATTCTTTGCTGTTAAAAAGTTTGACACTGAGGTGGAAATTTCTGTGACCACTTAGTGTATTTCAGTTAAAGAAACAAGTTTAGTGAGAGAATAATTTTACTAAACTATAAAGTACAGAATAGATCTGCTTTTCAGTGATGCAGAATGAGAGATCTTAGTGAAGGATTTCTAAAACCGCCTAATTCTGTCCTCATCATCATCTTCTGGAATTCGTACTGAATTTCCCTGGAAGCCCAGCAGTTTGTTATCAGTTACCAGTTATCAGTGTCCACACAGTGACAACCATATTGTTTTAATACAGTACATAATTTATTTTCCATTTGTGATTTTTCTGTCTTCTGCAGAGACAAGGGTATTGGAAAGTGTTCTGTATATTTCTTAGAGCATATGATTATTAATTTAGTCATATATCCAGAATTTACTGAGTAGTGAATGAAGCCATTGAAAATAAAGTCCATAGATGTCATGTTAAATATCTTCTTAATGTTTTTCAGATCATGTATTTTAGTTCCCTTTTTCCTTATGTGGTACTTTTATGCTTTCTGATCAGAGGACTGCTCCTTAATGGATCAGTGGATGGAATTCGTCACATGTTCACACCTAAGGTATGTGCTTTAATTACAGTTTGTGGTGTATTGAAGTTTATGAATGATCTCATTTAAGCTTATAGTCTTCGTAGAACATTTGACCATATTTTTGTTTGGTTTATTTGAAAAATTCTTGTTGACCTCAGGGGCATAATATAAAGCCCTAAGGTCCAAAGGCTCTTAAGTGTTCCAAGAGTCTGTGTAGGGTTACGTCTCTTAGGTGAATGGTTCCCAGAGTTAGATGCCTTTACAAAGCTAAGCAACTGAAAGTGCTATTTACAGGATTCAGGATGTTTGGAGAGCTCCAAATACTGGAAAGAGAAGTGAATCCTAGTTCTTGCCATTCTGTAGGATTGAAATATGTCAAGTTCTGGGATGTCACAGTGAAATGCCTTACCTTGAACATGTCATGGCTTTACATAATTAACTTGTCACTTTTGAGCATAAATTTGATCCTTTTTAGAAATAAATCAAATGTTGTTTGCATAGCAGCCCAAAGTACAGGGGACATCTCTTTAATACTATAGTAGTGTAAGTACTCACCTCAGCTTTCCTCTCCATGTTTCTTATGGTTGTCATGCCAAGATAGCAGCAGGTCTAAGCATACTTTTTTTTACTGTCAGCATTTTCACAGGGAATGTGTCTTACTGAACTTTAGATTTTATAACTACAGAGGTAAGAAGGGATGTTATGAATCATTCCTTAGCCTGAAGATCTAAATTCTACTCACACCCATCTCAAATGCTTGCAATTGTATCTATACTACAGGAACAGCATGTTTGAGTAGTCAGAGCCATACTCAGCAATGCATAATGTTTGGGCTTCATATTGTATTATGAGATGGTCTTTCCAGCAAGTCCATTTCATAATACAGTTGAGCAGAATGGGAGTGATGTCTCAAGAATGAAAGCCAAATAATAGGAGTATTAAAATCAATGCACATAGTGGCTAATGCCAGATGACAGGATGCTGTCAGTTGCTTTGATTCCAGGTGGTTTGAGTCTGGAGAAATGTCATCCAATAAAAATTACCTTTGTTAGCTATCACATTATTATTTTTTGCATTGTGATACACAGTTATGCTCTGCTTCATTCACTGTTGTGGCTTTAGAGTCATGGTTCTGCAGGAACTTGCAGGCTGTTCAGGTAAATTTGGGAAATCTGAGGAACGGAGAAAGGTAATGCTTACTGAAGAAGAGGAAGTCATTAGCAGAGATGGAATACAGACCTTCCGAAGTTATAATTAGGTTTCTCAGTCACAGTGTTAATCGTTTCTTTAACTCGGGAAGTATCACTAGTTACTGAGGGAAAGTAAACACTGAACCTCCCCTTGAATACCAACGCCTCTTCATCATTTCATCTTAACACAAGTTAGACCTAAAATAAGTTGCAGCTGATGCTTACTTTATACTTATAACTTAAATTATACAGTTGTTTCAAGTGTTCACATAAATGATCTTTAAAAAAAAAATGTTTTTCTTTTCTTCTACTGGCTTCCAGTTCTTTAACTCAAGTTGTGGTTTAAATCTGAGGTTAGGAGGCCTGTATGTCACATACAGCATATGTGAATAAAACCCTTCAAAAGTATTTTCATTATAATCTCTGATTGTTTTTGTACTTGAGCACTAATTTGGACTGTACGTTCATATGAAACTACCTGAAAGAATTCAGACCCCCGCCACCTTTTGTTTCCTTTTGTTCCACTGAACTAACAGTTTATTTAGGCAGACAGACTATACAAAAGATTGCTAAACTGAGCTAGGTTGAAAATTATCCAGGTAGATGTACATGAGAGAGGAGACCCTCGGTTAGTTAGTTTATGAAATGATCACATTTTGACCACAGACTGATCACAACATTCCAGCAGAAGAGTTGTGTCAGCACAGGAGACGACTGGCATACATTGGTGCAGATGTGAGAGCACAGGGCTAGTGAAAAAGGAGATCATGTCTCTGTTTGGTATGGTTGATGAACAAAGCAGAAATTCTAAATAATAACCTTAATGAAAAATCTAAGGAAAGGTATATGAAAAGCCCACTGAAGTAAACTGCTGCAATGAGATTGTAGGACTGTATGAAGCTTAAATACAGAGCCCCTAAAATTGCACAGAAAACATAATACCCGATCAATTACAAATTTATTTTGAAATTCTAGGCAATGTGTACCGGAGATCGTACTACCTTTGATAATACCAAATGATATATTGTAGAAAGCGAGAAGTGTTTCAATACTTTAATCGTTTACAGATTGGTAAAATGAAGACTATTCCTCGAGCTCCCTCTAGTGGAAAAGTTGTAGCATGACTGTGATACAGGCAGGTTGAACTATGCAATAGCTACTTGTGCATTGTAATTATAAAAAAAATTGTAAGACAGAAACAGGATTATTGTCATAAACACCTTTCTTCAAATATATTGTATTTTAGCTATATATAAATTCATAAAGACTTTATCTGCTACCTATCTATAATATTATACCTTTATGGGAAACTGGAATTTTTTTCAAAATATTATCATAACAATAGCAGATTTTCTTTTTCCCCTCAGAATAACACAGTCAGTCTGATGATGCTGGCGTCTATGCTGATGCTTTTTAGTTACACTTTTTTCGATAAACCTAGGGTTTAAAAAAAAACAAAACATGTGCAGATGTAAGGTCTTTCACTGTTAAATGAATGGAGGCCCTGAATCAGCTTGAAAAAAATCTAATGTTTTAATTTCACATGTACTTCTTTTTTATGATTCAGTATCTAGAAGAATCTGAGATAGACAAATGATGACTCGTAACTTTGTAACAAAGATATTTCTTGAAGTATGGTCATCTGAATGAGCTTTTTGATACAAGTTTTTCGATACAAGGCTTAGTTGTCCCTCAAAGACATGACCCATTTAGCTTAGGGTAAGTTCAAGGCATCTGGCTTAAGGGAGATTTGACTTGTGGACTATACAGATTGTGGTAGCCAGCATTTATTTCATACGTTGCATTTTGCTTTACATATTTGAATATAGTAGAATTCCATATAAGCATGCGTATCTCGTGTTCACCTTTTTTTTGAAAAGTAACAGCAAAGCAACTTTAAGCATACTTACTGCATTTATAAGAGGGTTGATCATGCCGAAATACATCTTTAACAGCTGCGTGTACATATATTGTAAAAAAAAAGACAATAAATACTGGGGAAAAAAAAAAGAAAAATTATGGATGTTCTGTCTTGTTTATCAATATTAAATAGCTGCTATTCCAGTTATCATATAGCTCCAGTAGCATTTCATTGTTGGAAACATACTGTATAGCATATTTCTCTTTAAGGATCATATCATATAAAAGAAATAGAAATTCTGAGCTATAAGTTCACTCAACTTCAGGTGTCAACATTCAGCTTTCATTTTGTCATAATGAAAATACCTTCATAGTGGCGTATTAGCATTTTATGATATAGGTTGTCTTCCTGTTTTTTTTTTTTTCTGTTGTCTTTTCATATAATAGAAATGCATTTTATAGCTGACATATATTATATCTAATTTCAAACAGCTTGAAATAATGCTGGAGCCCAAAGTCTGGAGAGAAGCTGCTACTCAGGTGTTCTTTGCCTTAGGGCTTGGATTTGGTGGAGTCATTGCCTTTTCAAGCTACAACAAGAGAGACAACAACTGCCATTTTGATGCTGTACTGGTGTCCTTCATCAATTTTTTCACTTCTGTGCTGGCAACTTTGGTGGTGTTTGCAGTTCTGGGCTTCAAAGCCAATATCATAAATGAAAAATGTGTTATCCAGTATGAATATCCATTTCTCTTTTTTTTTTTTTTTTTTTTTTTTTTTTTAATGGTATATTTAATTTATGAATTAATGCAGATCATTGACTTTGATTTCTCTGTTTTATTATGTTTTACAGAAATTCAGAGAAGATTTTAAAACTTTTGAAAATAGGCAATCTGAGTCAGGATATGATCCCACATCATATTAATTTCTCAAGCATTACAGCAGAAGATTACAATTTAGTTTATGACATTATTCAGAAAGTTAAAGAAGAAGAGTTTGATTCTCTTGGTCTGAAATCTTGTCAAATTGAAGATGAGCTTAATAAGGTGAGAGTAATAAGTCTTAAATATAGACATTATGAACAAATGAATATTTTTAAGCTTGAAATACTCTGTGAAGTATACTTACACACAGTATCAGTACAGTGTACCTATGAGCAGTGCACTTGTAGAGATCCATATGAAATCATGGTTCTGTGAAGGTTTGCATTCCAGCTCACCTGAGGACTTCTGAGTCTATTGTCTTAATATATTCTTCAGTGATTTATGATATATTTTGATCATTATATTGCTCTCCTCAGGAGGTCATAAGTTTTTAAAGTTCTTTTCTTTAGGAAGAGTTGATCATGAGAATTTTTCCAAAAACGAAAGAGGTGTACCTATTCAACATATTAAATAAAATATGATGTCTTCTAGTGCTGATACAATTATTAAATATAAATACCACTTCACTGGAAAGTAAAAAAGTTACTCCTTACTTAGTAGATAATTGTTTAATAAGTATCATTCTGATTGAAATCTTATCACTAAGCCAGATCTGTAATAAAAGTTTTTCTAGCTTTTTCAGAGGGACTTGGAGTTTTAAACACTGACCCCTAGTTGCACCAGCATCTGAAACTGAAAATAGGTCATATTGGTATCTTAGACATTAAAAGTTCCTATAATTCCTGTAATATTCCTGCTATTTAAATTTTAAATAGATTCTAAACAAAAAATCCTTTATATACTTAATGGAGAAAATGGAGTGTATTTTGTAGCAGTCCTTTATAATAGCTCTCATGCTAAATTATCAGTGAAAGAGGGAAAGAAGTTCTGACTGGACATGCGAGGAAAATTTTTCACAGTGAGAACAATCAGCCATTGGAATAATCCCTGTAGGAAAGTGGATACCCCAACACTGGACACTTAAGATTTGGCTGGACAGGGTGCCGGGCTGTACTTTTGCCAAGAAAGGTTGGACCAGATGATCCTTGAGGTCCCTTCCACCTTGGTATTCTATGAAAGAAGTGTTGTTAATATCAATCAACTTACAGATTCTCAGTCAAACCCAGTGTTTCAGTAAATAGTATTAAATTTGCAGGTTTGGAAGAATCTCAGATAGTAACTTCCCACTCCACCTTCAAGGTTTAATCAATGACATTGCATGAACACAAAGTCAGATTGCCACACCACAAATGAAATACTATCCGTGAATAATAACATGGATTTTTTTCCTCACTGACAGGCAGTTCAAGGAACTGGTTTAGCTTTTATTGCCTTTACAGAAGCAATGACCCACTTCCCTGCTTCTCCCTTCTGGTCAGTCATGTTCTTCCTCATGTTGGTAAATCTGGGACTTGGAAGTATGTTTGGAACCATTGAAGGCATCATCACACCCATTGTTGATACCTTCAAAGTCAGGAAAGAAATTCTTACTGGTGAGTTGCACAAACTTTCTTTTCTCACTAGAGCGGGAAGCTAACTTTTTTTTTTTTGAGAGTATGAAGACTTGGTTTTATGAAATGAAAGTTTTCAGTGCTGACATTGTACAGAGCAGTAAATCACTGTATTCCAGACTGTACTTCCATGCATAGGCACATTAATATCTGCATGTAAAATGTTTTCCTGAATGTTACAAGACCAGGAACATCCTAGAACTTAAATTTTCATGGTGGATTTCTGTTACAAGTTTCTGTATGGTCAGTCCTTCTGAGCTCTTCCTGAATACTTTCCATTCCATCCTGTGTCACATATCAGGGAAACAAAGGGAAAGGAAAAAATGAAAATACATTGCAAATTACTACAAATTATTCCTAAGTAGGCCAAATTAACCTTAATTTAAGATGAAATGTTTATTATGTTAAAAATCAGTGCAGCTACTTTCTAGAGGGAAATATTTTTCCCTATTGAATGTGGAAAGGGTCTTAAATAAGATGTCTAGTGTTTTTTTTAAATCTATTTTATTTAAATGCACAAAGTTATTTGAGGTGCAGCCTGTTCATGCATCTGTGATTATCTTGTACCAATTTACCTTTTTGATATAGAACATCAGCATAAAATATGAAAGTTCTTTCTGAAAATCTTCAGGACAGCTGCAAGGGATAACTTATGCACAAATTCAGATTCACATCGTTATGTGTGACAGGAAGGATAGAAAATAAAAAATATAATAAGCTGCTTTAACATTATCTAGCTCTGTGAAGGAAATAATGTGTTTTATAAGACTGAACTGCTGATGCAGCAGAGCACTGCTCTGTCCTGACTGCTTTCCTTACCTTACTTAGGTAATATTTAACAGAAAATGTGGTTTTTTGCTTTGCTAGATCTAAGAATAAAATTCTACATAAAGATAAACTGATTTTTGAGAAGTCCTAACCTACTGAGCATTTGTTTTGTTTGTTGTGGTTTTTTTTTTTTAATCAGCTTGTACATTCTTACAGAATACAGCAGTGTGACATTTAGAAATTAGCTGTTCTTCCTAAGCATGTGTGCAAATACTGTGATATATAGTCATCACTCTGGAACAATGGAGCATTTTACAGTAATTCCTTGTTACTGTGTTTGACAAAAACCACAATAACCTATTAAGATAAAGGAATATTCAGGAACTGCTTTTCTCTTGTATTTTTTTTGAGTGATATACATGCATGATTTTTGCTAAACTCAATTGTACTCAAAGGATTACAACTTGATGTGGTGTTTTTATAATTAACTTATAAAATTGAAATGCCTGGGTTATACTTCGTGCAGTATCTGCGGGATTTTACAAGGATTATGCCTGTACTAGAATCTGTGCTTTGAAACCACAAGTCTTCAATTTTTACAGAAGTGTGAGCACATTTGCAACTTTTTGCACTACACTTTCAGTTCAGACTCTCTTGAGTTCAGGGAAATTTGCTCATATGCTTGAAGTTACTTTGTGTTCAAATTATTTCCAAATTTAAGTCTGCATGTATGTGTGCCAAGTTATGATAAATATACCTACCAGAGCCTTAGTTTACAACTAAAGATGCATAGTTTTGGGGTATAATGGTAAGACACAATGGGAGAACATAGGAATAGCAAGGATTTGTAATTTCACATACACGTGGTTATGGTGGTCTAATTTTTTGATCAGGGTCAGTAATAAAACTCAGTGTGAAAAATTAAACTCGAGTCAAGGAGGTTTTATTTGAATTCCTGTGGTTTTGTTATCTTGCATTAGGAGTTGACATCAATTTGTAATGGTCTCTTCCATAAATTTCTATTCTCTAAACAACATTTTAACAGTAGTTCCTGTAAGACTGAAAAAAAGTGATTGGACTTGTACCACAGTATTTTTAAAAGTGTCATTGTCTTCCTTTCACTACTATAATCAATACTAATTGATTATTTGAGATTTATGCAATGCGTATGTTCTGTAAGGATATTTTATATTTTCGCCCAGATTCATTGCACCTAATTTTAGACTGCTTAGGTGTATCCTTAACCTGAGTTCCCAGTGGGGTAAAAAAGAGGGCACTTCAGGTGGGAGAATCAGTCTTACTGGTGCTCAACCTACAATCGATTTCACAGTTTGTTGAAATGTTATTTATTTTATGGCTACTTAAGGATTCATTCCTATTCTTGATGAATTTAGTAGGAAAAAATTCTATTGAGATTTGTTATGCATTCAAGAAATAAATTTTGGGTTATCCCTGAACAAAAGGCAGAAATGTTGTTGTTTAGTGCACAAATACATTTAAACAGATCCTAATGGAACTTCATGCAGTGAATGGTCTTTTAGGGAAAGTCTGTTCAGCCTTCATAGGTTTTTAGAATCATAGTCTGAAACTTTGGTTCTTTTCACTTCTAAATTCCAAAAAAGTGATCTAGTGATCAAGTAACATGATGTATGGTGTTCTGTTTACTTTAGCCTTGCACTCATATTAAGTTAAATGTTTAATGAGAAATAGTCACTTGATTAATCTCTGTTGGTTAATCAGGACTGCTGTAATACAGCAACTCCAGTAATTCTAATTTCATAACTTTTCTGTTAAGTAGGGAACTGGTAGGATTTCTAATATTCTTAAAATTGAGACCTCCTAAAAAGTAAAATGTTATTAACTTTGATCATGTGAAGTAATGCATTAAAGTATATCTTTGCGGTTTCGAACTCTCTTTATTTCCTCTTTGTGGAACTTCATTACAATTACAGCTCACATTTCTGTCCTTCATTCCAGTCATCTGCTGCTTGGTAGCATTTTTTATTGGCCTGATCTTTGTGCAGCGCTCTGGAAATTATTTTGTGACTATGTTTGATGACTACTCAGCTACTCTACCCCTGCTTATCGTGGTCATTTTGGAGAATATTGCAGTTACCCGAATTTATGGAATAGACAAGTGAGTAAAGGAAATGTATCTCTATGTCCATATCAACAGTATTCATTACAATAACTATTACTATTTTAATAACATTTCATGAAGTATTTGTGACATACATATAAATACAAGTAAGTAGAAAGTGGGTCAATCTGGATGCAAATCTAGTCTGGGTTTAAGAACAAGTTTGGAGCAGGGTACGCTGCATCAGGATGGTGTAGTGAAAGCCAAAGAGTGATTGCAACAGATCCAAAGTGAGTAGAATACAGTAGAAGAGGCAAAATGAGACAGTTAGAAACAAGGATGGATATGTAAGTATGAGGAACTTACGTAGAAATAGGACAGCCAGAGAAAGATTTCAAGAAGTAATAACCCTGATCTAAGCAGCAGATGATTAGTATTCTGAACAGATCTGCAGTATTCCAGGCAGCCTGAGAAAGGAACAAAGCAAACTCTAATGGAAGTAACAATAAGAAAGTTTCACTTTATTAACTAGATTTAGTTTGGGGTGTTGTAGCAATTAACTGTTCTTTGCATTAGTTGTGAGAGAGGAAATAGAGGAAATGATAGCAAATAACAGGGTCAAAACTTGGAAGAAGCACAGTTGACAGTGAAGCTAAGTGACCTTATATCAATGACGGCTGAAGAGAAACAAAGACCAAGTCGCTCTCATTTTTAACATCTTATACTGAAACCACCAGAATGTGTTCATTAAGCAAGATCAATGTGTGCCACACTTAAAGAATAGAAGAGTTTGTATCAAAAACAACTCGTGCCATCTACAGATAAAACAGAGTATGGTATACTAGCATGTTGAAGTAATTTAAACATCTGTGATTCCTTTGCATGTATAAAGAGTGACATAGAATGGGTGGTTTTTCATTTGGCTTTTCACTTGTTCAATCTGAGTAATCAACCAGTCCCTCACCATAATGAAATAAAACTATAATAAGAAAATTTAATTTTATGTTTTCCAGACACTGTTTCTGGTCTATGCAAGTAGTGCCTGGTCTGCTTACTCATTAAGGGAGAATTCCCGATTGGCTCACATGTATAATCCTAAAATTGATCACACAGACATGAAAACACCATGTAGATGTTTCTACAACATGCAAACAGAAGATGAAATAGATGACCTGGTTATCAGGTTAGTTATGTCCAGTCAGGTAGAGTTTCACTGTGAAGGGAGGTGGACATGCCAAAAGTCAGCAACTTGCCAGTAAGGAAGCTGGTGTTTAGGTGTAGCTAAAATATGGTAATGCTTTGTCTCTGAATCAGAGTGCAGTTGGTTCATGTTTTCAGAAGGGGTTCTTACAGGATACAGTTCAAAGTTAACAGCCAAATTTCTCATTCGTAACAGTCACCTGAACCTCCCTCTGTAGTAATCCTAATATTTCTCCTGATGCATATTTCTCCAGAATATGCTTCTTCAGGAACCTAGCACTCTTGTTTGCAAAAACTTATAGAATCCACAACTTCACATTCTCACTGGCTGTGATAGCACCAAGGGATCCTCCTTGTAGGTGATGATCCGTATATATATGTCTTATTAGACACATTGTCTTTGATCAGATAGAAAAATAACCCCACCATTGCATCCAAAGGGATTGCATCCAAAGGGTAGAAGAAAAGGCAACATGTGAATCCCTGTAGCCAGGAACAGAAATCTGCTATGCTGAAATTGGTGCTGAAGGGGCTTGGTAGCTTTTAAAAGAGGAAAAGTAGGATGGAGATGATGGAAGACTTTAAAGTGAAGATAATAGATTTAGGTTAAAGTAAATGAAGAACTGGAGATCCCAGAAAGAACAGGCTATCTATAGAGGTCACAATCCATTTGTAAATTCATGTGTTTTTTAACAGTGTGTGTCATGTCAGTGTAAACAAAGGATAGAATACATACAAACCTATGCAGCTTGAAAAAACTTCTGAGAGATGTGACAGTGGCTTCACATGTGTAACTGCTTTGAAAACATATTTATTGCTCTGAGAGATTTTTTGAGATGCAAATTTCAGAAGGGAGTGGGACAGCAAGGGAGTGAAAACAGAATTGGTACTTTTGCACACTCCAAACTAATTAATTCTAAAAATATTTTCTCTTTTTCTACTGGCTCTGGAACCATGTACTTCTCTGTCAAGAGTACAACAATAGGAGTTTTGTTCATATTATAACTTGCAATTTTGAAGCACAATGATGCAGATTTAAAACTTAACGAAGTTTTATTTCAGCAACTTATATGATGCAAACCGTAGCTTATGCGTAGTTATTTTTTACACTGCAGCACACATGTGGGTTCAAAATGAATTTTGCAAAATCTGTAAGATGCGCTGATTGTATATGTCCTCAAAAGTAATGACACATGCCTTAGAAAACAACCCAGTAGACATAATATAAGAAGATGGGAAAAAGATTCTTATAAAAGAAAGGTGAGTTTAAATATCTTTCCAGCACGGTCCAGCAAGCAGTTTACAAAGACACTGCACTGTGTAGCGATTCTTTTTGTTCTCTGAACTAGTAATACAAGCCCTATTTTTCAGCCCATCAAGTAATGTAACCTGTAGCAATTTCTATACATGCATTTTTTCAGTGTGTCTGTTTCCTCAAATTAGGTGCCAAGTATCAATCACAGCACTTGAAATTTCAGTGTACACACTAACAGTAACCTTTTATTCCCTTCACAGATTTATAGAAGATCTGAAAGATATGCTTGGGTTTTCTCCAAGCCAATATTACTACTACATGTGGAAGTATGTTTCACCTTTAGTATTGTTATGTTTGCTGGTAGCTAGCATTGTCCAAATGGGTTTAAGTCCTCCTGGCTACAGTGCTTGGATTGAAGATACGGTATGTATATAAGATGCCATCACCATCATACTGATCATAGCTGAAGTATTTAAAAAATACATGAAAAGACAGAAAAGTTTGCAATTAGAAATTAAGAGTCAGTATAAATGATGATGTGGTTGTTTTTCTCTCCAGTAATATTAATGTAAACCAAACCATTTTTAAAATTTATAGTAGTTCTCCTTGAAGAAATTCTTAAGGTTGGGAGAGGTTGTTCACTTTCATTATATCTTTTTTTACTGCTGAAAATAGTTGGTGATAACACTGAATAAATCATTTCAGATACCACATCAATTTTTTAGTGGAATTAAATATTGAGATTTAGCCATGTCATAGATTTTCCCATTTGGGAACACATCCCACATTGTAAGTAACAACTGCATTAAAACCTGTCTCTGATAAGAATTTGATTTGTAAAAAACTTGTCTGTGTGAACTGCAGAGTCAGTGCTGTGTGTTGGCTCCAAGGAGAGATTCAGTCAAGGTAACTTTCCTAAGAGTTCTGCTGGCTTGTAGGCTCATCAGCCCTCAGCTGGTTCTACAGGGTTGTCATACGAAATATAGAGCGAGTAAAATGTCAGAGAAATTAATCTCAGGGACCCTTCTGAATGAACAGTTGTCTGAATTAGCCAGAGCGGGGAATCACAGCAAAGACAGCTAAAGTGTAAATACAAGAGTTTGGCTTTACTAGAGGTAGATGTCTGCCTCTAACCAGACAACCACTACTACTTTCTCGTGATTCTCAGAAAAATGCTCTTGTTAGATTTGATTCTTGCCCTCAAAAATTAGAAATACCTTAGAATACCAAACATACCATTCCTTTCTGTGTATAAAATTAGGCAAACTGAGTCTGATGGACAGTGATTCATGGATACAGCAGAGGTGTGGGAGCAGTCACTGCCACAGTATATGTGTTGCAGTTTACATGAAGTTTTCAAAATGGAACAGTGCCACAGGGTGATCTGAGACAGTCCCAGACTAGACCAGTTACTAGCCTACAGAACAAGGACTTACTTTCCAGGCATAGTTACAGATACCACTGCACACTTGTCTGTTCTAAACATATGTTAAAGGTTCAGGGAACAACTACAGACAAATGTAGCAGAAAGCCTAATGTGAAAATCTTGGTTTGGGTTCTGCTAGAGTGCTCTGAGCACTCAGAAACTGTGTGACAGTGTTTTGGTCATACTCATGGGCAGAAAGACAGCAATCCTACATCTTCATAACTGTTCAAATTTAAGATCTGTAGTGGTACCCACATTGTATGTACAAGGTGACAAAATGATGAGTATGTGTTTGAAAACTGCAGGGCTTGGTGAGGACTGCAGGTTACCTCTTTCTTAAGTAAAGGTGTATTAATAGTTTTTCTCTTTGGTTGCTCAGGCTACAGAAGAGTTCCACAGCTATCCAACATGGGGAATGATTGTCTGTATATCTCTGATGGTGTTGGCCGTACTGCCAGTCCCAATAGTCTTCATGGTGCGCCGTTGCAACCTTATCGGTGACAGCTCCAGTAGTTTGGCATCTGTATCCTATAAAAGAGGCCGGATAATAAAGGAACCTGTTAATCTGGAGGGAGATAATACAAGTTTGATTCATGGAAAGAGTCCAAGTGAAATGCCGTCTCCAAATTTTGGCAAAAACATATATCGAAAACAGACTGGATCACCAACTTTGGACACTGCTCCAAATGGACGTTATGGTATTGGGTACCTGATGGCAGATATGCCTGATATGCCAGAGTCTGATTTGTAACTACAGAAAAAAAATGCTGTTTGTTTCTCCTCTCTCACTGATTATGACTCTCCTATGAGAAGTGGTCAGCTTTACTTACTAGGATGCAATCTCAGGTGCTCCATAGCAACAGTCTTTAAAATGTCATGGCTGTACAAACAGGTTGAGAAAACTCCCTTTGGATTAATTCTGTGGGTCTTCATTTGCACTGAAAGGAACACATTCAGAATCAATTGCACCCTACATCTGTCAGCATAGGCAAGAATTTGAATTTTAAATTTAAAGCTTTCTATCTCTGAAGCCCAGGTCTCACTCAAATGATAAAATATTTCTGAGGTGGTATCACTGAAAGTCTTTTCTTCTGCTTTCAGGTTAACTCCCCAGTATTAAAAGTGAGCTCAGAAGTAGTTCACCAAACTCGTGTTTTTGTAAACACTTGTATTATACCTTATGTAGATATGCTGTACTTATTTTGTTAGCACTGATAATTACTTAGGCTATTAGCTGAATAAAAATCAAACCTGCAAACTATTTTCTTATGTAATAGCTGTATAGAGCAATAGCATTAGAAAATCAAGGAGTAGACTCACAGGAAGGCGAGGAAAGATTCCCTGTTCACTGGGGACTGCATAAACTATGGCTGTATATTTTGTGTAAAATACTTGCTTTTTCAGTGTGAAAACAATGTTAGAGTGAGTCACTCCAAAAATCTTAAGGATTGTGCAGATTCTGCATTTTTTTCTATGCTGTGTGCCTAAAAAAGACCTTGATATTTATTGTGGTTACAAGATTACATATATATTATATTTATATAATATACTTGTAATGTAAATATGTATATTATTCTGTATGTAATCGTTTCAAAAGTTGAAGCAAGATGGCTTTTTTAATTAGTCTCCTTCAGTTTTGCTCTAAGCAGACCATTTTTTTCAGTCGGTAATTGTTAAGAACTGTACGGCATTACATTTTAACCCATGAATAAAAAGATTGACAAGGTATTTCTCTATGATTTCCTAATACACTTACGGTAACACAGCCTGCCTTTCCCTCAGCTGGACTAGCTGAAAGAATAACATACAGCTGAACAGAGATGCTAAAATAACCTGAAAACATAAAATGCTAAATCAGTCATTTTAATTAAACTATTGGGTAAGAACTTTTATTTTGAATACTGTAGATACAGCACTGTAAACTGACTTGACACTCTGGAAGCTAGTATGATTATTCCGTATCTTAAAGAGCTTCAAAGTTAGGCATAAATTCTGATTTAGCTATGTCCAATAAGCAAAGGAAAGAACCTTGTTACATTGTCCCAGCATCTAAGAACCAGATGAATTCATATGAGGTAAATACAAGTCTCAAAATTGTTTGGAGTGTGTCAGTGTGTGAAGGCTATGCTAAACAAATGAAAAGGAACAAAATCTTAAATCAAACCGCCTTAGCAACTTGAAAAAATTCCTTAGGGATAACTCTTTTGTCTTTGGACAATAATCTCAGGTAATTTTTGATTTCTAACCTGGGAGTTTTCTAACCTGGGAGTTTTTGAAGTAATTTCTAATCACCAAAAAGTTGAGCTAGTAGCATTAGTTGAGAAAAACATATATTTAATTATCAGACTTACCTTGCATTTGTTAGAAGTTGTGCACATAAAATCAGGCTTAAAGTATTCCTCTAAAATGCGTTTATTAGAACATATGGAGGAGAGCTGGCATAATTTGTGCAGGCTGCTCATAACTGATCAGTTGGCAATATTAGTATGTGTAGAATGGATCACCATTAGGGACAGAGAGCAAGCATGTACAAAATACTACTGCTGTGGCAGAGCAGCATCAGATTTCCACCATCCTATAACATCAGGCTTCTAAAGTGACTGCTCAGGGTAGTCATCATGCATCCCCTCTGTGCCCAGTCCATAGACTGCAGAAGTCTGTTAAAATCTACTTGCCTGTAGTGGCACATACTTGTAGTTACATAGGTCCTAGTTTTAAATCTGAGGTGATGGCCAAACAAAAGTCTGCTGCTACACAAGACCTGTTAAAAAGAATGTGAGCAAGATCTTACTGTGTGCAATACCTACTTCTGTTAAAGCATCACAAAGGGGACTAACGCTGCTTAAACAGCGGGCTGAAACAATACATATATTCTGGGGATTATATGTATTGTTTCTGCCCTTTTGCCTGTCTTCTTGAACACTATAATCAGCATTTAGATTTTCAACTCATTTAAACCACTGCTTCTTAATCGGTTGCTTCCTGATAACTCAAATTAGCGTGTCTCACATCAGCTTCATTAAATTTTTCAAGCATGAGAAAACCCAGCATGTATGTCCTGTCTACTGCCAGATGTTCGATTCATAATTTGATCTTAACCATAACTGGACACCCTGAAGTGCAGAATTCTTTTAACCTGGTTTAGTCTGATGAGCTAAAAGTGAAGGCACTGTCCTGTCTAAAGCAGGACTGGTCCCTCTGTGTGGAGGTTTAAAAACAGTAAAAATAATTACTGTAAAGTGTAACATCCAAGTCCTTGGATATTAATGAAAGAACTGCTGAAGCAAAGTATAAAATTATATGTACAGTTGCTGTTCAAGAGAACTCACACTGCTTTCATACTTCAACTGAGAGCAAGTTGCTACTTGCTGTCCTTATGGATAAAAAGAAGTTAAATATTAGTAGAGGGTGGGAGAGAGAGGTTTATCTACTTAAAAGTCAGAACATCTGTGTGTCATGTCAGTTATAACCACAATTAATTTGCCTTATTTTTAGGGATAATATCAATGCAAAGGCCGTCATGCTTAAAATTAAAGAAAATCCTATTTGTGTTTTACACAATCAGAAATAGCCTAAAAACAAAATCATCCATGTGGAAAGTGAAAATAGGTTTCCAATAGAATTTATTTCAGAATGCCTAAGGTTTCTGAAACCAATATGCTTTCTGAGATCTCATTTCACCAAAGAAAGATAACAAAATCAGTCAGCATCAGTGTGTCACAAACAAAGCCCATGTCATTACTTTTGTCATTACCATGTCATTATTCCAGTAGAGGTTCTCAAATTCAGTGAAGTGCAGGACAGATTACACAGTCTTGTTGCCTGTTTTCAGTCTTTTCTGATATATCAAAATTTTATCGATACTTTACAGAGTATCATGCAGAGAAGAAAGAAAGGGAACAGAGAAAAAGATAAGAACAAAAAGGAAAAAAAAATATTCAACAGCCATAGCCCTATTTTCAGGGAGCAAGCAGATAGATACGTGTTAGCAGATGAATCCTCATAGTGGTGTAAGCAGAACAGTGATCTTGTCACACTAGGGAGAAATCAGTTATGTATGTGATAGCAGATGGTTTGCAAAAGGGTTTTAGATACCCTGAAAATACTTAACTCTATTGACCACCGTGAAATACTAACATCCACTGTTTAGCTGAGATGCAGTGTACTCAAAAAGACCTGCTAATACATCTTTGAGAAATTAGCAGAAATGTAGTTATGCCAGTTTCAAAAAATGCAGAAAATTCAATATAAACATTTAAATGTCTAGTTAGATTCTGTGTTTTGAGGGAAAAGAGGAGGAAATCAGAAATATGAGATGTGATTTACTTCCTTTGCCACTGGATGGTGCTCATATTTCATATGTGTCGGTAAAATGGCATGTACACGAGTTTTTAAAAGGGGGAATGCTGTATTTTTATTCTCTACCAAGACAGATAACTCTCAGAATGATCATGGATTCACTAAAACTCAGAACTTTACTAATCTTCTGTACCTTTGGCTGCTTTCATAGATATTTGATATTTTATATCCAAGAAAGTAAGATGCAACAAATCATTAACGCTAGTAAAAGCAACAGCAGAGTCAGTATCCCAGTGCCATGTAGTACTTTTTTGGGTCTTGAGAGCAAGCAACAACTTCCTGAGTCAATATTTTGAAATCAATAATTTTATAACATGCCTTTTTTTCAAATATCTTATTAGTTGCTATTCTCATTTCTTAAATTAGCAAATTAATTAGTTAACAAGTTAGTGGAATAAGAGAATCTGACTATAATATTACTAACACTAATAATAATATTAGATTTCAGTGCTTCTCCCTGCCTTTATGAGTAAATGCTGAGAATTGCAATGAAGTAGATGGGAGCTGAGGAGGCAGCAAGGAGCACTGAGAAGGAACAGCAGCTGAAGGAGTGACTCAGGCTTGCAACTCTGCTTCTGAGGAAAGCAACTTCTGTGATATCTGGAAGTTTTAAAAGTAGTGCAGCTACTAAAACATGCCTTGAGCAGCTGTATAACTCTTTTGGTAAAGAGTGTGTAGAGCATTTCTCACTAGCTCTGACTGAACTACCATGTCTTTTTTTCTGTACTGTATTCATCACTACTTAGTATTAAATGAGTGAAAAATATTAACTAAGACACTCTTGTTTCAAATCAGCATCGATACCCATCTTTGTTGCTGACTTTCCCCAACAAAGTACACAGAGTGGCAATGAGAGCTCCCATGCCGTAGTCTTATAATTATGGTGTTAAGATAAAGAATTTATTCAGTGAAGAAACCGATGTAGACATTCTCCCTTTTTATTCAGTCCCGTATCTTTTTCTGCTTTTGAGATGTCCTCTGGATGTCTCATGTTCAATCCAAACTGAACAGGTAGAAAAAGAAAAATGTGTTTTCCACCACTAGGTACTCTCTTAAATAAAAGAAGTAGAACTGATTAGTGAAAAGAAAAATGGTATGTAAAGAAGAAAGAAATTTGCTTCAAAGCAAGTCTAGTTGATTTTCAGATTTCTGATTCAAGTAAAAAAAAAAAAAAAATACAAAGGAAGAATCAGGTTTGCAATCCAAAGAATAAGGAATTAAGAAAAATGTTAGAAGAGTGGTGAAAGGAGGTGGAACTGAAATAGGAGATCATTAAAAGAAGGAAGAAAGAAAATGGTACTGCAGAAATAAAACTCAATGAATAACAAAGTGTAAATTGAATAGGTAGGAGGTGACTGGAAAGATAAAGAGGTATGGAAAAAAAGGACTTCAGAAAGAAGACAGATTTTGATAGCTGTGTGAAGTATGGTGTAATCAAGCCTGTAGAAGAAATAGTCTACAGTTGGATATAGCTGTTAAAGAGAGGTATTAATCAAAG